TAAGCCTTCAATGGTTTCTCATTTCTTTCTTTCTTTTTTTTAAAGATTTATTTATTTATTTATTTATTTGAGAGAGAGAATGAGAGAGAGAGAGCACATGAGAGGGGGGAGGGTCAGAGGGAGAAGCAGACTCCCCGCTGAGCAGGGAGCCCGATGTGGGACTCGATCCTGGGACTCCAGGATCATGACCTGAGCCGAAGGCAGTCGCTTAACCAACTGAGCCACCCAGGCGCCCCAGTTTCTCATTTCTTGGTCTCATATTCCGAACCCCTAAAGTGACCCCTAAGGCTCTACGTGATCTGCCCCTCCCCACACTCAAGCTTTCTTGTTCCAGTATATTCTCCAGCTTGCATGCTATTCCCTCTGCTTCAGTTGTGCTCCTCACCTCCCTCCTGGTCCAAGCCAGCTTCACTCTGATTCAGTCCTCAGATCTCACCTTACACCTCCTCTCCTCAGGAAAACTTTTATATCCCCAATCATCTTCATTACCCCAAACTGTGACAATTCAAACTAGTTCAGATAGCCGCAAAACCCAAGGTTAGCTCAGGCTTGATTCAGGACAGAAAAAGTCACCGGACCTGATTCTCTCTCCACATTTGGCCCTATTTCCTTGGCCTTGGCTCCACAGCGAAGCTCAACCTTCACGGTGTTAAGATGGCTGCAGCAGCTCTAGCTACCTCATTCACCTTCAGACCCAGTAGGAAGAGGGGATAGATTTCTCCAAGTGGATTCCAAACAGTGTCCCAGAATTCAGTCCAATTGACTTGGATTATTTGACTCCAGGTATTTGCCTATTTTAAAACCAGTCATTGTCACTGTGACAAGGCAATGCTCTGACTAGGACTAGCTCAGGTGCCACCCCTAAGAACTAAGAGTTCACATGTGGGTCGGGTCCCAAAGCTAACCTGGGAGTGCAGGAAGCAGGGGGAATGGATCCTGAAGAGGTAAACAATATATGTTCCACCGGGATTTTTTTTTACTACATGATTGCATAGCACCTTATCCTTCCCTTTCATAGCATTTGTGATAAACTGTATGTTTATGTATGCCACTGTTTATTTAGTATTTGTCTTTCCCATGACCCTCTGCACTTACTTTGAGAGGGACCGTGTCTCTTTTTGCTGTTCTGTGCCTGGTAGCCAGCATAGTTCTTGGCACACAGCAAATGCTCAATTAACATTTGTTCAATAACTATGTTACTAAAACCAAAAAACAAAAAACCCACAGCAGACTATAAGACAGTACATATAATAAGGTTCCAATTTTTGTTTTAAAAACTATCTCCCCTCCTCTCTCTCTATAGATTGCAAATTTGAAAGCAACTACACCAAATATAACAGTGGTTATCTCTTGATGGTAGAATTAAGAATGGGATTTTATTTTATTTTTTTAAGATTTTATTTATTTATTTTGACAGAGAGAGAGAGAGAGAGAGAGGCAGCGAGAGAGGGAACACAAGCAGGGGGAGTGGGAGAGGGAGAAGCAGGCCTCCCGCAGAGCAGGGAGCCTGATGCGGGGCTCGATCCCAGGACCCTGGGATCATGACCCGAGCTGAAGGCAGATGCTTAACGACTGAGCCACCCCGGTGCCCTAAGAATGGGATTTTAAAACAACACTTTTCTTTTTTTTTTTTTTTTAAGATTTTATTTATTTGAGAGAGAGAGAATGAGAGAGAGAGAGCATGAGAGGGAAGAGGGTCAGAGGGAGAAACAGACTCCCTGCTGAGGAGGGAGCCCGACATGGGACTGGATCCCAGCACTCCAGGATCATGACCTGAGCCGAAGGCAGTCGCTTAACCATCTGAGCCACCCAGGCGCCCCTAAACAACACTTTTCTTGATTTTCCTAATCTACAATGAACCTGTATGATTTTTAACTGAAAAGTTTTCTGAAAATATGCTTTAGAAATATAGTGGATAAGGTTCTTCCACTTGGAATAAAAATGTCCTGTTTTGACAAGAAAAGGGATTTTCTAAAGAGTTTACAGCCTTAAGCCAAAAGTTTCCCCTTGACAAGATGAATTCCTGTGCACCACGGAAGGGATTACTGGAGATGCTGATTACTTACAACATTAAGAGGAGGGCACTGGGGAACAGGAGGGCCAGGTTTCAATCAAGAATGTGTGCTGCTGTGGGGGCGTTACATAAGAAGGCTTTGAAATGGGCCTCTCTTTTGCTTCTTTTATCTTTAAAACTTGTAGCTTGACCTCTCTCAATTTCTAGAAAGGCAGCATTTTGGTTTATGGATTATCATAGTTTTACTTTATTATCAGGTCCCTAATTTCTCCTCCTCCCCCACCTCCATGGTTGGTGGTGGCTTTCACCGCATTCTCTCTATCTTTTGTTACCTTGTGGTTCTGGAGCGAAATTCATGCCTTGAGTTGATCTATTACCGGCATTGTGTGGTGAGTAAATGTACACACAGAATCGCTGTGCACCAGCTCACAACCTCATCTGAAACACACAGCACACTGTTCACCCTGGGCTCTGCCTAGACCAGCAGATTCTGAACCTAAAGCCCCCCTCGGGATTGGACCAGGGAGCCCCTTTTTACAGGGGAACATCTTAAGATAGGGCCTCTGGGTGCCCCCTTGGGGTCAGCCTCATTGTTGGTAGACCTGCTGTGGAGTTCGAAAGGGAGCAAAGATGGGACAGGGGAGTGAAGACTCAAAAATGCAACTTATTCCTCTGAGACACGTGGGCATTCTGAATAAACATTGCTCACCACCCACTGTTGTGAACTGAGTGGGTCTGTCCCCGTGTGAGGCTTCAGGGGGAATCAGCTTGAGCCATGGTGCCGTGACACCAGACGTGCTCTGCCTCTTATTAGCTGTTTTACTAGCTGTCTTAAAGCCTGCTTTGGCCTCACTTCCTCTGAGTCTCAGGCTCTCGTCTGGATGACGGGCACAGCAGCCCCCTCTCTACAGGCTGTCTCTATAGCCAGATAAGATAAGATCTGTGAGGCGTCCAGCCCTGGGGTGGGGGGGTGGGGTGGGGCGGGAATCTGGGTGCAATGGGAGAATCTGGAGGGAAGAACATTCGGGGGCAGAAGCCTAGGAGAACTTCCACTGCCTGTCTCAGTAAGGCTGTGAGGGAAGGCAAAGGATACTAACAGTTTTTAAGTTAAACTCTCCTCATTTTCTAATCAAACGTTCCCTAACATGGGCCACCCTGTAGGGGAATTTTTCCTGCTTTAATCTTTTACGGAACCGTCATGGCAAGAGCACTGAGATTTCCTTAGTTTTCAAGCACACCTTTAGTCCCCCAGCTCTTTGCATTAGCAATAAAACCCTTAAAGCAGAGGGATCTGGGTGCTTTTCATAGGCTCAGCAAGGCAGGTGGGGCAGGGCTGTGTCTTGTCCTGAAGTTAGAAAGAAAAAGACACACAAAGGTTAGAGTAGAACTGGGTAAAGTTGAAAGGCCAAAGATAGAGGGAAAACGCACCGTGGGGTGACAATTAGAAGTTTAGAAAGTAGCTCTCGTAACTTCACAGTAAATTGTGGATCATCTGTCAAGAGGCAGACTCACCCCATTGACTGGGGTGTAATTGTTAAGTATCTTCTTCCAGAGCCCTCTGAAAGATGCCGCAACACCGGGGCAGAAGCCAACAGGAGGTGTGTGGCAACATGGAGGTGAGCTTTTTGAGGACTTTGAGATTGTCTTGGGGGCTATAAGTGCACATGATGCCATAAGGTAGGGAAGACCCAGTGCCTTCCGGCTCTGGCCACCACTCTGACCTACGGCTTACGTCCAGACACAGAGGCCTGCTTTAGGGTCTTTTGAAAATGACAACTCTCTTCTTTTTCTTCTGAGCACTGGCTTCTCACCTCCAGGTCTTATGTCCCTACCCCGCCCCCAGCTCAATGAATGTGGCTTTCCCTGAGCCCATCCCAGCCACCTGCACTTACCCTCCTTATAATCTTTTCACCTACTTAACACTCATTTACTTTATAATTATTTCAAATTATTATTATTTATTTACCTGTTTATTATTTGTTGTCCCACAAGAGCCTGCAAGCCTCAGAAGAAAGGCAGCTTGTTTGTCCCCAGCTGGACCCCCATCTCCTTCTGTAGGACTGGGCCCAGAGTGAGCACTGATAAATGTGGCAGCGATGCATGGATGGACGGAGCATCCCTTGTTTCCCAACACCTCAGCTGGCCCACACCCCATGGAAATTACACAGTAAATCCTAGGAAGGACTTCCACCAATTTTGGCTTCCAGGGACCCTCCAGGCAAAGCCTTTTAACCTTTCCGCACGGATCTCTTTATGTATGTGATGAAACCAACGGACTCTCCCAAAAGAACCTATGTATACACTCAAAACTCTGCTTACCACCTGGGGGTCTGGAGACTTCTACCGCCCCAGGTAAAAACTCTAGACTTAAGAAAAATCAAGTGGAGAAGGAGAGACTGGACACTGGACGCCACAAAGTCTTGGGAGAGACAACTTAAAACCGGACCTGTAGAAAACGATCGATGTCCTTGGATTGCAGGATTAAAAGATAAAAAGGAAGAAAGAAATCTAATTGTTTCTAAGAAGTTCCGCATCTGTCAACCGTTTCCGCCCTTGGCGGTTTAGGACGAGCCCGCCTCTTGCCACTTTCCCTAAGCGTATTCGCAAGTGCCAGGGCAGATACACGTTTCTCAAATAAATGAATGACAAGTTCCCCGGGAAGAATCCGGAAAGCAGCCCCCTGAGGGCTCCCTGCTCAGCGCTTCCCAGTGCCCGAGGGTGCAGAGGCGCGGGCAGGTGCAAGTGCACCTGCTGCCGCCTGCGGGGCGCTGGGCTGGGAGAGCTGCGGCGCGGGGCGGGGGGCGGGGGGCGTGGGGGAGAGGAGGAGGCGCAGGAGGCGGAGGAGAAGATGGAGGAGGGAGAGGAGGAAGTGGAGGAGGGAGGGGAGGGAAAAAGCAGGGGAGGAGGGAGAGGAGCCGGAGGGAGAGGGGTTGGAGGGAGAGGGGAGGAGCACGGGGAGGAGTCTGCAAACTTTCAGTTCGAGGGCATTGTGGGAAGCAGCCATGGTCTGAGGCGGGCACCTCACCTGTCAGCCGCGCGGGCTCCTGCGCTCGCCTCGTGACCCCGTGACCCCCGCGCTCGCCACTCGCCGTTCGCTAGTCGGCGGGCGGGGGCGGCGGAGGCCCGGCCACCATGGTGAGTGAGCCGGCGGCGCGCGCCGGCGGGAGGCACCTGCGGCGGCCGGGGGTGGGGAGCCGCCGCCGGGTCCCGGTCCGCGCGCGCCTGCGGTCGCGCCGCCGGACGGGGCGGACGCGCAGGCCACAAGGGACGCCGGTCAGGGACTCCCGCGGCCACAGGCGTCGCTCCTTCATTCATTCGCTCGTTCGCTGAGCGCGTCGCCTGTGCCGGGCAGGGAGGCGGGCAGGCTTCAGGTGTCGCGGGGGACGCGGCGGACCTGCGCTGGCGGGGGAGGGGGGCGGCTTCCATTCTCGGACGAGGCCGTGGACGGAGGGAGACGTGTCGTCTACTGGGAAAATAAAGGTTACCTCCGGGAGTGAGGTCTCCGCTGCAACCGGATGGAGGGGTGGAGAGGCGACTCTAGGGTAGATGGCAGGGAAGGCCTCTTTGGGGAGGCGACATCTGAGCTGTTGGAGGTCCTGAAGGGGCGCTGCCCGAAGTGGGCGCGGACAGAGCAAAGGCCCAAGAGAAGATACCCTTGCTGGTGGGGTTGATACACAGAGACCAGAGCCAGTTGAGGCAGGTCCTGGAAGGAGTTTGGGTCTTATTCCAATGGAGTTGAGCATTGGGAGCGTTTTTAGCAATATAACAGACCTTATCCCTCCTCCACTGAAAAAAGGGCCTCTGGCTGTTGGTGGAGAGTGGACTGGGGTGTGTGTGAGGAGGGGTGGCAACATGGAAGCAAGGAGACGAGTTTCAGTGCCCCAGGTGAGAGAGATCCTGGCATGCACTTGGGTGAAAACTGTAGCTTCCCACGCCTCTTCCAGTGCCTTCGGTCGGGGGGTCGGGGGAGGGCTAGTGTTTTGAGAGTGTGGGAGTCCCCCTTGCCCAGGTGAGCTCACTTCCCAAATACAAGCAGGAACAGAAGTGACCTGCACTCTGAGGGCTTGAGCGCCCACCTCAGGCAGGAGCAGAGGGCCTGTGGGTTCAGAAAGTTGGTGGACAAGGACTACAGTGGGGTGCTGAGCCCCTGGACAGGAAGGCCACAGATGCTGGTCCCCGGAGGAGGTTGGTTGCATGGACTAGAGGTACCCTGGTTGTTTGTTGAGGGTTCCTTGTAAGTACAGTGCGATGCAAAAAGGAGGCTGTAAATTAATGCAGCAGCTCTGTTGGCTTGCTCAAGTTTCCCAAGGAACGCGGTGACGGTGTGCCTAGATCACCATTATCATTTGCCTAATGGAGGGTGGAATAAGGCCCTGGAATTTCTGAGTAGCAAAATGCTGCTTCCATCCCGACAGCTGGGGCAGGATCGTTGCTCTAGACAGTGCTCGCTGTGCAGTTTTCTTTTTCCTTGCTGGTGTCATATAATCAGGTAATTGGAAATGTGTGAAGTTTCCCTAGCTTTTCCACCAGGTCTTGCCCAACAGAAATGTTCATGTTAATTACTGAGCACTTCTGATAGGCCATGCGGGATGCTCAACCCTTCCCATTCCCTGTCTCAGGCAATCCTTGCAGCAACCGGATGAAGATAAGTATTATGCTCTTTGCCTTTTACCTGCTCTGACCTGTTTCAGCAGCATGTTCTTGGACAGTCCCGGTGGCCTCTCTGTGCGGGTCTGCTGATTTGTGAAATGGGGATAATAAGAAGGGGTTCTTCAAGTGCTGTCTGGGGACCCTAAGGAGTCCCTGAAACTTTTCAGAGGTCCACGAGACCCAAGTATTTTCATAATAGTTCATAATAGCACTATGATATTATTTGCCTTTTTAACATTCATTCCTATGCAACTCTATGTGGTGTTTGCTTGAGACTAACATGCCCTGGGAGAGTGCGACAGTTTGAATGCAGAAGCAGCTCAGAGAGTCCAGCTGCCTTCTATTGAGCCGGACATGAGGGAGATTTGAAAAACTGTAAAACTGTGCCACTCTTCTCACGAAATTTTTTTTCTTTTTTTTTCTTTGGAAAATATTGTGACTGTTCATAAGAAAGTTATTTCTGTTAATGTGTAATACTACTTAAAAAATGAATTAGTAAGTATCTAAAATTTTTTCCCATTGAAATGTATATTACAGTACCTACCAAGGGAAACAACCTACATAAATAAAAGGTCTTGGGGATTATCTATTTTTAAGAGTGTAAAGGAGTCAGGGTGCCTGGGTGGCTCAGATGGTTAAGCATCTGCCTTCGGCTCAGGTCATGATCCCAGGGTCCTGGGATCAAGTCCCGCATTGGGCTCCCTGCTCCTTGGGAGCCTGCTTCTCCCTCTGCTTCTCTCTCTCTCTCTCCCTCTCTCTCTCTCCCTCTGTCTCTCATGAATAAATAAATAAAATCTTTAAAAAAAAAAAAGAGTGTAAAGGAGTCAGAGACAGGAGTCATTAACTCTGTGAGTCAATGCAAGTGAATGCTTTTAGAGCAGCTTTGCCCACTGTAAGAGCTCAGGGACCATGGCATCTCATCTGGTCTTCCTGCCACGAGGTGACCCTCCCTATTGCCTAGCAGCCTTGGCTTTTCGGGAGGGCCACTTGGTGACTCCCTGTCTTTCTTTCGCTCTGTTCCTGACTCTTGCCAACTCTTACTCTAGGAAACTGGAAGATGCGTACAGCGTCCCACCTGCTACTCCCCACAGGAAATGGTTCTTCATTCCCTTGTGCCGGTGGTCCAGATTTCTAGCACAGAGACTTCATACCTCCTGACTCTTGGGATTCTGTTTGTATCTGGATTATCTCGTTTGAATCAACTTTGTACTTCTGCACCCTGTCTTTGTTTTTGAAACCTCTGCCATGGAAAACAACGTAGGGTTATTGTGTTTCAGGGATTCCCATGGTTTCTGAGCCCAGTGTATTTAAACTTCTTAGTGGGAAGAATTTACTGTTGAATGGTTGACAATGTTGATGGAAGAAGGAGGATTTTTCTTTTATTTGTTCCTTTATTCTGTTTTCCTGTAAGAAGATAGCGGTGGGGATTTAGAGGGTGACGTTTGAAAAGCTTTGGGGACACCTTTAGTAAAAATGCAAGTCGACTTTGCTTTATGTAGTCTGCATACTTCTGAAAAGTTGAAGTGACTTTTAAAACCACATTGTCAACAAAATAGAGGAATTACCCATTGAAAGAAACTCAAATGGAGGGGCGCCTGGGTGGCTTAGTCGTTAGGTCATGATCCCAGGGTCCTGGGATGGAGCCCCGCATCGGGCTCCCTGCTCTGCGGGAAGCCTGCTTCTCCCTCTCCCACTCCCCCTGCTTGTGTTCCCTCTCTCGCTGTGTCTCTCTCTGTCAAATAAATAAAATCTTAAAAAAAACCAAAAAACTCAAGTTGTGACCGGTTTTTTGAAATATGAATCATCATCTTCTTGTGCTGCAGATCCAAGTCTCATAACGTATGCTGTTTATCTAAAGTGAGATAGACTACACACACACACACAAAAACCCAAATCACGGATTCTTTGGTGTGATTTTAAATCTTCCTTTAGAGAGAGAGAGACCTTCCCAAGCTGAACTGTGAAGCCGTTTCTTTATGAGAACTGATGTCAGTTTGAAACAGTATGAGTGCACCCTTCTCCTAAATCAAGTAATTCAAAGTTGGCCATGTTCATCCTCATCTTACTGAATTACATGGAAACGGGAGCGGTGAAGAGGAGTTGCAGAGGGTGAGGGGGGAGAAGTCTAACAAGAACCTGGAGATCCAGCTATGCTCCCCCTGTCCCCACCCAGTATATCAATTTAATTGTCCCAGCCTTAAGTGAATTGTAATAACCATGTTGTTATTTTGGCAGTTGAAGTTCTAGTTCGAGGGTGAAGTAGTTTCTTACAGTGATGAGCACTTTCCTGCTCTGAGGCCTGGTTTGGGTTGCTGGCCAGCAGTGAGTGTGGAGTAGAGGGGGTTGGGAATAGGGGAGGGAAATGTCCCTCTGTGGTGTTCAGTTGTCCCCAGAGGGTAAACCACAATAGCCCTTCCCCAAGTTCTCCCAACAACACCGGTGAGACTTGTATTTACCCCTCGCAGGGATTGTTACTTCTGAGTTCCCTTTATTGGCTTCTTTGGCAAATATCATCAACAGCTTGCAATTTTTATATGGCCTTTTACCAACAGCATCTGGAAGGAAGTGGTCAGCAGATTGTGTATTTGCCACAGGGCATTTTCAGTGTGTGTCCTTTTGGGTCCCATTAATGATTTCATTATCGGCAGAGACAGAACAGATAAAGCTAACCCTCCTCCCCACTCCACCCCCCAACACAAACAAAGAAAACTCCTTGAAGAGTCCCCAGAGATAAGCATTTTTGGATATCTCCATGACTCATTCCTTCAGTATTATTTTGTTTTTACAATGGCCAGAGGTTCTCCCAGTGGTCCGAGACTTCACTGGGGTAACCTCTTTCCTGGGATCCTTACTTGCCTCTCAGAAGGTCTCCTTTCTGGCATATCTTGTTCTTCTCTGATGGAATTCTTTGTTTTCCCCAAAGTATCCTAGCCATTTTTCCAGGAAAAACTCCCTTTTGACCACCCGGATCCCCCAGATCTTGTGATGTGAGAGACTGCACACAGAAACCAAAGGCAAAGCCCCTTGAATTCTCTCAGGGCTGCACTGACCTGTCTCACCAGCATCCTGAACAGCTGGAGAAAATGTGCTCATTACGTGGCTCCTGGTAGGATAAATTGTGATTTTTAACTATGATAAAGGAGTGCTGCAAATTATTTACGTTAGAAATGAAATGCTCGCTGTCTCTCTCTATCAAATAAATAAATAAAATCTTTAAAAAAGGGGGGGGGACCTGGGTGGCTCAGTCGTTAAGCGCCTGCCTTCAGCTCAGATCATGATCCCAGTGTCCTGGGATCGAGCCCAGAGTCAGGCTCCCTGCTTGGTGGGAAGCCTGCTTCTCCCTCTCCCTCTGCTGCTGCTTGTGTTCCCTCTCTCTCTGTCTCGCTCTGTCAAATAAATAAATAAAACCTTTAAAAAAAAGAAAGAAATGAAATGTCATTGACATATTATGACATATTATGAGGAAGCTGGCCTTTGAAAAATCT